TTCCCGGGGCAGCCTCCCTTTGCATCCCCATCCCCTCCCCGTGCCCGCCTGGGACCCAGACCCACCCCGTCCCGCCCCATTGTCCCCGGGGGGCGGGTCCCAGCCGAGGCCAGAGCTGAGCCCGCCCGCGCGCGCCGTCCTCCTCTCTCCGCAGTACTCGCCGGGGATGACCATGAGCGTGTGACGGGCCCCGGCCTCTGCCCAGCGCCAGTGCCTGAGGCCAGGGTCGGGTGCTGGGGGGGGGCCGCGGTCACATCTCTGGTGCCTGGACCCCGGGCCGAGGCCTGGCAGGCTGGGAGGCCCCACGGCCCACACAAAGAACTTTTCATTTTCTAAAAAAAACCCAAGGACCTCAGAGAAGCGCTCTCCTGTGTGGCCCCTTCCCGCCCGCCATTTGTATTTTGTCTAGTGGGGGCTTCTCGGGGGCCACCCTTCTCACAGGATGGTGGGGGTAGGGCCCATCAATAAATGTAACTCGGTTTTGTGTTTTGGTAGCTGTTTCTCGCATTCCTTCACTCCATCTACAGCAACACCCCCCCCCAAGTGGGGGAGCTACACAGCACCTGAAGGACTGGGGAGGTGGAGGCACCTCGGGGTGTTGGGGGACTCCCACGGGATGGGCAACAGCTGAATTTTGAAGGATGGATAAGACCCTACTACGTGGAAAAATTGGAGTGGGTCAGGTGCTGAGTGGATGGTCGCAAAGAGAACGGGGGTCACAGGCACCAGGGACTTGAAGGCAGAGGCTTGGTTGTGACAGTGGCGCCGGCTTTATTGTCCTGGGTGGGGCCTGGCAGGGTGGGGTCATGAGGGGCAACAGAGGAATGGGAGGGCACCGGTGAAGCACAGCCTCAGGTGGTGGGCGTCTGTGGTGCCTCGTCTTGCGGGTGCCCGTTGGCGTCACCAGTGCAGCCAGTGGAGGCGGCAGGTACCGGTCGTTTCTTGCATGGCATAGGGCAGGCCGTGGGCCCCATGCTCTTGAGTGCGGGGTCTGGGCGCTCCATCTTGTGCTCCAGCAGCATGTGGTTCTGCGGCGGCAGCCCCAAGCAGGCCCTGGAGACGGTAGGGGGGCTCAGTGGGGGTAGAAACTGGGGCTGGCGGTGTCCGCAACCAGCCCCCCACGCACGCACGCACCTTAGGATGTTCTCGATGCAACTGCGTTGGCGGAAGAGTGCGTTGACCACTGGGCTGCCAGGGGGCACGAGCGGTGCCTTGAAGAGGAAGCCGAGCAGCGCCAGCACCGGGTGGAAACCCTGCGGCTCGGGGTCGGCGTCCGTGTGGAAGCTCACGCGCTGGCACAGCTCGGTCAGCAACACCAAGTCCAGCATGATGGGCGCGGCCAGTAGCGAGTCCTAGGGGCGGGGCCAGTGAGTGGGCGGGGCCGCCGGCGGCCGCCCCGCCCCTCCCGCCTGCCATACCCAGCTAGCGCACCTCGCATGTGTTGTGCAACACCAGCGTGTTGGTGCCGCCCAGCATCAGCTCTGATGTGTACTCGTCCAGCGCACGCTTGCTGTCACCCACGTACGGCACGTACTTGATCACCACCTGGGGGGCGCACGAGGTCGCTCGCACAGACCCGCCACACCCCAGCCCGCGCGCGGCCCCCCAAGCCTCCCAGTCCCCACGTCCCTACGCACGCAGTGATCTGGCTCCTCGCCGGGTCCATAGAGCACCGGGTTGCTGAGCACCATGTCGTCCACCACACTGCTCTTAGACACCTCCTTGGAACGGAACTGGGATGGCGCAGACAGGTTCTGCCCGTCGTTGTTGCCCAGGTGGTTGTAGCTCACAATGGACATGGTCTGCGGGCCGCAACACAGCGCTCCAGGCCCCACAGGCACGCGAGTCAAGCCCGACCTTCGCCCCCACCCCTTTTGTCCCGAGTCCTCTACCCCTGTCCCCACTGTCGCCAGCGCACCTTGAGGCCAGAGCCGATGAGGAAGTCCACGAGCACCGACTTAACCTTGGTCTGGCCAGTCTTGAAGTCGTCCCCGCCCACAAAGACGCGGTGTTGCCACGCGAGCTCCAGCGCCCCCGGCACCAGTGTGTTCTGCGGTGACCCGTTAAGGAAGGCACAGCCCTCCAGGATGCTTGCCACAGCGAAGAGCGTGGACGGGGACACCTCCTCACCCACCTGTGGGTGTGGGCGTAGGGGTAGTTAGCAGGGTGGCCATAGGCTCTGCCCCATCCCCCGTGCTGCCCCATCGCGATCCCACCTCGATGGTTCGAAGTAGGTTCTCGGCCGTGTCGTTCCGGCCTGGGACCACGTCGCAGAAACGCTCCGTGTTTGCGGTCCACAGCACGATGACCTTGTCCAGCCCCTTGCTGGACCGGAAGTCTCGGATGTCCTTGCGGATCTGATCCAGCTGCGGAGGTGGGGGAAAGGTGGGAGGAGGGTGTACAGGCACCCAGCCCCTGGGTGCCCCATGCGCAAAGTGGGGCCTGGACCTACCCCTCTACACGAAGTGGGATGCATGGGGCAATAGGCAGGCGTGGGGCAATACGCAGGGAGGGGGGACAAAAGGCTAGCATGATTTAAAAAAAAAAAAGGAAGTAAAGAAGGGACGGAGACTATATAGGGTTGGGGGAAAGGGGCGGCACCTGTTGCGCACGCGTGCCGGGGATGAGGTTATCTGCGCGCGCGCCCTGGTTGGCCGCGATGAACTCGGGGATGTAGACCGAGGGGCGAGGGCGCAGGACTTCCATGTGCGGCCACAGCTGCTCCTGCAAACCCCAGTCCAGCACCTGCGCGCGCCGCATCGCCTGGGCCAGGTTCAGCGACGAGATGTCCCAGCCTGTATGCGACCCTCACGCTCGTTCCAGCTCGCTCGGACCTTCGGGACCCCGCCCGCCGCGCTGCCCTTCCCCTAGCCTGGGCCCCACGCACCGTCAAACACCAGGTTGTCGGGCGCCACCATGGGTAGCAGCGCGCGGAAGGGTACGTGCACCTCCTGGCCCTCTGCGTCCAGGCCCAGGCTCACGGTACCCGCCTGCGTCAGCGAGCCGTAGTAGTTGGCCTCCTGGGGGCAGCAGGCAGGATGAGGGGTGGGACCGAGCCGGCCTGTGCCCCGCCCCGGACCCGCCCCCCCAGCCCCGCCTGGCTGCCTGGCGCAGTCAGCTCAGTGGAGGCCCCGCCCCGCGGAGACCACTCCCCTCGCGGAGGCCCCTTCCCCGGCGGAGACGCCCCCTCCCCCTCGGTGGAATCTGCTCCCCCCGCGGAGGCCGCGCCCCCGGACGGACCCCCATGGAACTCCCTCCATCCGAGGAATCCTCTCCCCTTGTGGAGGCCCCTCCCCTGCGGAGACACCTCCTGTCCCTTCCGCTCCCTGTAAGACCCCCTTCTCCCATAGAGAGGCCCCTTCCACCACGGAGATGCCCCCTCCCTCCAGTGGAATCCTCTCCCCTCGCAAGAGGTCCCTTTCCCTCCCCCCTTGATATCTCCTAACTCCTGCGGAGCCCCCTCCCCTCGTGGAATAGTCCCCTGTGGAATCTGCCTCCGCTCCCCGCGGGGAGACGCCGCTCCCACAGTGGAGTTCCCTTTCTCCGCGGAACCCCTCCCCTCACATAACCCTCCGCGGGGCCCCTCACCTTGCGGCCGGTGCGCGTGGGCCAGGACAGGCGCAGCCGGTTGGCCAGCACGGCGGCGGTCAGCGTGGAGCCGTTGTTGCCGCCCCAGCCGACGAGCATGACTCCGAGGCGGGGCACCTGCTGGGTTGTCCGGAAGGTGAAGCGCGTGGACGTGGGGTGCACCTGGGGGGATAGCGTCGTTAGCCTGGGGCGCGCCCGGCCCGCCCTGCCCCCTCTGCCCGGCGGTGGGACCGTTGGGCGCCCCCCAGGCCGCCCACCTTGAGGATGCCGCCCTCGCGGCTGACGTGCGTTGTCCGGTACTCGTACTGTGCCTCGATGGCCTCGGGGCCGTAGACCACGTCGGGGCTCTCGACTACAAACTCGGCGGCGGTGGCGGCCTCCATCGCGGCAGGCTGGGGAGGGGGCGGGCGGTCAGCTTTGGAC